CGTCATCCGCGGCCGATCGGCCGCTGGTGGCTTCGTCATCGCCGCTTCCTCTCTCTCTCTCTCTCTCTCTCTCTCTCTCTCACGGACGGAATGGGTGCTGTGAGCCTGTGCTGTGCGTCCAAGGTGGGGTGCGCAAATGCAAATGAGGATGGAAGAGAAGAGAGGGGCCGCACCGTCGCGTGGAGTAAGCTGTCCCCGCACGTCAGTGCCTCATCTGCCGCCACCTCGAGACCACCGCGAGGACAAGTCCCAAGCCGAAAGCCGATCACCGCTGCACTTTCTTCGGTTAACGGTGCCAGCTGTGAATAAACACAGCACGTGCCGGTGATCGTTGCAAAATATCAGCATCGTGCTAGAAATATTAGCACATTTTGGACTAATCTAATCCAAAAATATACAGTAAACATGGTAAATACAGTATGCATCTCATACCGATACCTAAGCATGTGAGTATGTAGAGTAAATAGAACCAAACCATTTATAAGCGGCACCCTCGGCATCGTACGAGGCCTTCTGTTTGACGGCTTCGTCGTCAGCCATGGAGTCGATGCAGGGGAAGTAGATGACGGGGACGGGTCGGGAGCAATCGCGTCGAGACGCTCCCCAAAAACCTTATTGTCGTTCTCCCGGGGAGGATCTCAAACGACAGGGTTTCGAAGACACCTGCTCTGTCGACCAACCGTGAGGCAGCATAAAGAGAGGAACAGTAGATGACGGCTAGTGAGTGAACTGAACTAGGTCACTCCACTGTGCCTTCTTATATAGGCCGCCAGGTAGGAAGTCGTGGGCCCGGGAACGCAACCAGCTGTTAGACTAAGTATATGTTGATATACGTGTTGTAACATAACTTGTACAGGTTCCCTCTTATAAATATATGACAGCCGTACCCACCAAGGATATCGAGCATTGTTGCAAACCCTATCACGTCTAACATGGTATCAGGCGACGCGTTCGATCCGCGTCACGCTTCCGCCTCTGCATCTGCCGCGCCGGTTCCCGCCGCCGCGCCGTCTCTCTCCGCCCTAGCCATGGAGTCGCCGTTCCTTGCGTCTTCCCCGCTCGCCTGGGCGCGATCTGCTCCCGCAGGATCTCATCCTCCCGCGCCTCGCTCCTCGTCTGGGATGCCGCCGCCGCCGCCTCCTGCCGCACCGATCGAGGCCGATCCGATCTCGATGCGGGCGATCCGATCCGATCACGGCGCGCCTCCGCCCCCGGCCTCCTACGACGCCTCCGGGCAGGCGGCCTACGGTGGCCCCTCGGCTCCGGCTCATCACCGCGACGCACCCGCGGCGTCGGGGCCCTATGGCGCCTACCAGATGCCGTACGGGGGTCCGTACCCCCCGTCCTACGTCGCGCCCTCGGCCGCGTCCTACGTCGCGCCCTCGGCCGCGGCATACGCGCCGTATGCGGGTGCTGCCCCGACTCATCACGCGCCCGCCCCAACCTACGGCGCCCCAACTCCTCGCGCGGCGGCCCCAACGTACGACGCCGCCCCTGCTCTTCCGTATGGTGCACACCCGTCGGCGGCTTACGGTCATCGTCATCAACCATCGACCGATGCGCTCGTCCCGTACAGTGCTGTCTCACCGCCTAACCCGCCGTCCTCTGCGCCGATGATTGAACCAGGGCCGTTTCACTTCGCTCATCTAGTGACGGTGAAACTTTCTGCTGATAATTACCTCCTGTGGCGTGCCCAAGTATTGCCGCTGATGCGGAGCCACTACCTTGAGGGGTATGTTGATGGCTCTCTACCGTGTCCTCCGGCTATGGTTCCGGCACCTTCGCCCCATGGTGGCTCTGTCATGGTCCCCAATCCTGCTCATCGTCGATGGACTGCTCAAGATCAGGCCATCCTAGGTGCTATTCAGTCTTCGCTCACTCCGTCCGTGGCTGGTATGGTGGTTTTTGCTGCTACATCGAGGGATGCATGGACCACACTTGACTCCAGTTTCTCCTCACAGTCCTTGGCACGATCATCTGCTATTCGCAACCAGCTGGGTGAGGTCAAGAAGAATGATCTCTCTGTCACGGCCTTCTTCAACAAAGTAAAAGGTTTGGCCGATACACTGTCCTCCATTGGGAAGCCACTCCGTGATGAGGAGTTTACTTCATTCATTCTCAATGGACTTGACGAGGACTATGACTCTCTGGTGGAAAACATCAATGGACGCGACACTCCGATGCCACCTCGTGATCTCTATGCCCGCCTCCTTAACACGGAGCAGCGGCTTGCCGCTCGCCGCTCTGTCGGAGTCTACACGGAGGGCCCCTCTGCGAATGCTACTCTTCGCGGAGGTGCCCGTGGTGCCAAGCAGAAGCCGCCGACTCCCACGGCCGCCCAGCCCCGTCCATCCGCCCCGGCTCCTCCATCGGCCGGCCGGAAGCGCCTTCACTGTGAGGCGTGTGGAGGAGGCATCGCGTGCCAGCTTTGCGGCATCGAGGGACACTTGGCGTCCAGGTGTCATCGTCGCTTTAAACGCGATTTCCTTGGCATCGGGAACAACGGGAAGGGCAACGAGAAGCAAGCTTCTCTCGCTACACAGGAGTCCGGGTTCACTCCATCGTACTCCGTGGATCCTGCCTAGTACATGGACACAGGCGCCACGGACCATTTGACGAGCCAGCTTGACAAGCTGGACACTCGCCAGGCCTACACCGGTCATGATCAGGTCCGCACTGCAAATGGATCAGGTATGCCCATCTCACATGTTGGTCAGGCATCTCTTCTTTCCCGTACCACTAAAACCTTGCGTCTCCTTGATGTTCTTCGTGTTCCTTCTGTCACACGTAGCTTACTCTCGGTTCCTAAATTAACTCGTGACAACAATGTGTTTGTTGAGTTTCACCCTTTCCATTTTTTTATTAAGGACCGGGACACGAGGGACGTTCTTCTTAGTGGTCGAGCTCGCGACGGATTATATGCACTTGACGTACCACGAACGCTTGGCGTGCCACGCGTGTCTCAAGCTTTCAGTGGCGTTCGGGTGTCATCGTCGCAGTGGCATTCTCGCCTTGGCCACCCTGCTACTCCCATTGTGCGCCATGTGCTTCATCGTCATCGTCTTCCCGTTGAGTCCAGTAATAAGGAATTTTTAGTGTGTGATGCCTGTCAACAAGGCAAGAGTCATCAGTTGC